TTAAGAGAGTCAGATTACTCTCTTCAGCTGTTAATCTCCTCCTCAGTTCCGCCACCAATTATCGACGTCTCAGACACTCCGTTGGAAAGTAGTCCGGCTGAAAAACCAACATCTTATGTAAGTGGCGGATGGCTGCTTTCCGGGTCAGAACCAAGTTGTCTTCTTCTTTTTTATACAAACAAATCTTGATAGGTCGAGGTAAGACAGTTTTCGACTGTTCATTAACCCTTTTGCCTAATTTAAAGGCGATCCAAGTCCCATGGTAAGGTCTGTCCGTCCTCCGAACTTTCGATTGACTTCCAAATCTGTAGATCGTCTGCTTAAGTGTGATCTCTTCTAAGATAAAGAAGGTCTTGAAGCAGTTCTCTATGAGTTTTATAAGATTGAGAGCTATGGGCTTACCTTATTTTTTTATCGTCAGTCCGACCTTAAGGCTCACGAATAACTAAGATCGCAATGAGTTACGACCACATAGGAACTCTTTCCATGAAACGTTTATTTCCCATCGGCAAAATTGGGTTCTCATGACTGAGCCTCTGTTGTTACCATGAAGGCGGACCATACAGCCGCAAATGGAGCCTTTGTAATATGGTTCAGTTCATTGCGGGTTTATCAAGGAAAAGGAAAGCAGACGCCTTTTAGCTCCCTTCTAGTGACTAAAGAATGCATCGATACAGTCGAATAATTCAAAAAGGAGTCGTATACATAATTGCAGCGAAAAAGCGAGTAGCCGTCAGTAAGTCGAAAAAAAGTAAGCACACGCGACCACTTGAATATTTTTTTGCGAAATGTTACTTTCATATGATTTCCCGCGTCAAATAATATTACTTAATGTCAGCTGTCTGCTGTAGGCTTCAACGAGTCTGGTCTTATCAGAAAAACCATAGTGTGATGTCAAAGTATAAAAAAAATTTTTCTTTCTCGTTCACCAGATGAACTACCTAAAACATGAAACAAACGCTTACACATACAATTTAGCTGACAAGGCCTGTTACTATTTTCGACTTAATATGATACTCAGGAAAAAAA